GCAATGGTGTTCACAGCTGATGCAAAGCATTTTTGTGCTATATGCTGCAACTACCACATGCCTTCTGAGGGTACATCTTCACTACCCGCTGTATCAGCAGGTAGCAATCGATTTATCTGGGATCGATATATCGCGTCTCGTTAAGACGCGATATATCGATCCCCGAACACACTCACCGTCGATTCCGGAACTCCACCAGAGTGAGCGGCGGTAGCGCAGTCGACGGGGGAGCCGTGGCCGTCGATCCTGCGCCATGTGGACCCCAGGTAATTCGATCTTAGATACTTCAACTTCAGCTACGCTATTCGCGTAGCTGAAGTTGTGTATCTTAGATCGATTTCTCCCCCCACAGTGTAGACCAGCCCTGAGAGAGTTCACCTTCAATGGGATTCCAAAAGAGGGTGTGTGTAAGACATGGGAGAGTCTGAAGGGCCAACACTTAGCCCAGAGACTAGGCAGCAGGACAGTGGGTTCCAGACTTCAGGAAAGGGTGCTAGACAATGTCTATACCCCTAGATTGTGCTCATTGATCCCCAGTGCGGGGCAGTGGGTGTGCTCCATTCAGGCTCAGAAAGCCTAAAACACCTGTGGACCCAGTGGCTGTGTTCCCTCACAGCAGCTTAGTGAGTGGCCAATTGGGCCTGTAATCGTGGGGTACTGCAGAGCTGTCAGTTTCCTACCACTGAATTCAACAATGCCAGAATCAAAATTGGACCTCATGCGTATGGTTCCTGTGTGGCTGAAGGATGGTAAGGACCAGGGGTCAGCAACCTTTCAGAAGTGGTGTGCCAAGTCTTCATTTATTCACTCTAATTTAAGGTTTCGCGTGCCAATCATACATTTTAACGTTTTTAGAAGGTCTCTTTCTATAAGTCTATAATATATAACTAAACTATTGTTGAATGTAAAGTAAATAAGGGTTTTAAAATGTTTAAGAAGCTTCATTTAAAATTAAATTAAAATGCAGAGCCTCCCGGACCGGTGGCCAGGACCCAGGCAGCGTGAGTGCCACTGAAAATCAGCTCGCGTGCTGCCTTTGGCACATGTACCATAGGTTGCCTACCCCTGGTATGGACCCTGACAACTCCTTTGTTTCTTCTTCCATACTGCTCCCATGCAGCAGCGTATGGGGATAAAGATTCTTTCTGAAAACTACCACAAGCTTGCCTCAGGCCCCCACACTATATATTGTTTTAACCCACCCCACCAGGTTCATAAATCTTCCCATTCACTACAATCATGTCCTCCCCCTCTCTTGCTCCCAGATCTCCAACTTTTCCTCCCTCTCAGCACAAACCTCTCTTAATGCTTCACTCTCCCCTCCCTTTCCCCTAAAGCCCTCATTTTCCCTCACTCATCTATCCCCCCCTTACTATCTCACTCTATACCCTTCATGCTTCCTCCAAATCCCCCACTCCCTCTCCCCCCAGTGCCCTCATTCTCTCATCCTCCATCTGTCTTCCCTTCCAAGCCCATTCCCTTTTCCTTTCTTGAAAACAGTGCAGTGGGTCCCACCGTTTATTCCCCCAGACTTTTCTTCTTCTGCAAATATCTGCCTTCTGTTTGTTACAGCAAGGACTTTGTTGCTCCCTGGCACTGCCTCACCTAATGTCTCTCTGCACCTTACACTCACTACCTCCACAAGATACTCATGTTGCTCTGTCACCCCAATATCCTCCCCTCTCCCCCTCAATATATCTAGTCTTCCTCTGTCTCTCAGTTCCGCTTCACATCCCTCTAGTTTCCCTGTTCATTGCCTTCATGCTCAAGTTCCTCTACCTTCTTTGCTTCCACAGCTCCCCTCCCCCCAAGTCCATTCACTGCTTCTGACCTGAACACCCAACCCCCAATGCTTCCACTGCTGTTTTTAGCCACAGGGCTGTCTCCCCAGACTGGGAGGCTCGCTCCCTGCTACAGTGTACACATACCTTCTCTGCGTCTCCCTAGATTGTGTACTCTTCAGGGCAGGGATCACTCCTCCTTGTTTGTCTGGAAAACACTTAGTACAGCAAGGGTGCTACCATCAGCAAACAATAAATACTACAATACAAACATACATTATATAAGTACTGTTCACTCAGGTATTTCAATGCAGTGAAGAAACTATGTTTTATTGTTTAAAGAGCTTTGCAGTTCATTTATTAGGATTTTAAAATCCAGTAATTCCTCCAATAAAAAAGTTTGCCATGACAATGTAGTTCAACAAGGTAGTTCCACCAGAATTAAATTCTGTAATTATTTCTAGGTCTATAGCACAGAATAAAAATAGCATTTTAAAGAAGTCAAACAAAAAGTGAATTATAACTATCCCATTTTTAAACAATTTAGAATATTTCTCACAATTTACATTACAATAATCTAATTTAAATAACATTAATACAAAACTATCAAAAGTCAGGGAACTTAAAGTGATAGTCATCTTTACCTCACATACGTAGAAGACGTAACAGGTTTATGATCCTTTCCAATCTGTCAACTAGGTAGTCATAATTTTAAGAAAAAGCTCAAGTAAAAATTTTCAAATGAGGGTGCCTAAAGTTAGGCATCTAAATCCATATCTGGCTTTATTTTTGGACTTGCAAACACCCTGTTTTTCCATGGAGATGAGGATGCTCAGCAGCTCTTTGCAAGTCAGGCCAACTTTTTAAGTGTGTAATGCCCCAATTCTGTAAAAACTTATGCGCAAATGTAACTTTATGAATTTGAGTAGTCCCATTAAATTCAGAGAGACTGCTCATATGCATAAAATCACACACATAAATGTTTGCAGGATAAAGATATATGCTGACTTAGGAGTCTAATTTGGGAGTCTAATATGGATTCAGGTGTCCAATTTTAGGTCTCCAAATTTGAAATTTTTGGTTATAGTATTTACACAATTAACCAGAATGATTCATGCAATTATGTATTTAGGATGTCCACCGTGATTTTTAAATTTTAGAAACATTTGCTGTGCATGAATTGTAGCCAATTTTCAAAATATATCTGTACAATTTAATATATTTTTTCAAATTACTAATTAGACTAATCACTTGCCAAACTTCATGTTTTAAGCTTTGAGTTAAACAAATATAAGAAAGCATTCAGCCAGTAATTTCTTTCTCTATAGGCCATATTCTGCCACAGCTTTTAAACAGAAATCCTTATTAACAACAATGGTGATTTCTGCTTAAAAGTTGATGGCACACTCTGGCCCTATATTTTTAAAAGTTTACATAAACTTTCAAATAGTCCAAATAAATTTTAAAAAAGTCTAAGAAGCAACACAATCTTATACGCCCCAAGTTTTGATCAGGGGTAAATATTTACAACCGAAACACTTGAAAACGAATTATTATAATGGGAACAATGACACAACCTTAAAGTACATAATAAATGTCAATGCCATGACAGTACTTTTAATATTAATACTAGAAGCCTCTCCAGTTGCCAACTAAAAGTACATTTTTCAACAGAAAACTAGCTTCATTCTAGCTTATCCTCATTAATATAGATCAGTGCAGCATCATGCTAAATGTGTTTGCTTATACCAGCGGTTCTCAAACTGTGGGTCAGGACCCCAAGGTGGTCACGACCCTGTTTTAATGGGGTCACCAGGGCTGGCATTAGACTTGCTGGGGCTCGGGGTCAAAGCCAAAGCCTGAGCCCCACTGGCCAGAGTCAAAGCCCAAGTCCCACCACCAGTGGCGGCTCCAGGCACCAGCGCTCCAAGCACATGCCTGGGGCGGCAAGCCGCGGGAGGCGCCTTGCCGGTCCCTGTGAGGGCGGCAATCAGGCAGCCTTTGGCGGCACACCTGTGGGAAGTCCCAGGTCTGGCGGCAATTCGGCGGCGGCACGCCTGCGGGAGGTCCCCGGTCCCACAGATTTGGCGGCAATTCGGCGGCGGGTATGCCAAATCCGCAGGACCGGCAGACCTCCCGCAGGCATGCTGCCGAATCCGCAGGACCGGGGACCTCCCGCAGACATGCTGCCGAAAGCCGCCTGCCTGCCATGCTTGGGGCGGCAAAAAAGCTAGGACCACCCCTGACCACCACCTGGGGTCAAAGCCCAAGCCCTGGGTGGCGGGGCTCAGGTTACAGGCCCCCCCCGCCTGGGGCAGAAGCCCTTGGGGTTCAGTTTTGGCCTCAGCAGGCTTTGGAATTGGCCCCTCCACCCAGGGCAGCTCGGGTGGGCTCAGGCTTCAGTCCCCCCTCCTGGGGTCGTGTTGTAATTTTTGTTGTCAGAAGAGGGTGATGGTGCAATGAAGTTTGAGAACCCCTAGCTTACATCATTGATTTAGATAGATACCAAGGGCAAAAGAAGTAGGTTGCAGTTCTCTTGCTACACTGTGGTAGGGCCCAATCATGCAAATACTTCTCGAAGAGCATAACAGTACATGCAAGTAGTTCCTCTGATGTGCGTAAAGTTAAGCATGTGTCAAAATGTTTGAAGGATCAGGGCCCAAATCATTACAATAATTATTATTCTTGATGTACAGCCTGTGTCAACTGGAGAAATCCTAAAAATGGCAAAGACACATAATCAATTAAGTAGTTGTGTCTGTGAGAAGGAAATTATTTTGACTCAATGAACCCTTTGTGCATTGTGATTTGAAATATATACCCAATTTGTCAGGGCTAAAAAAGACATGATAAGCCACTGATCTGTTTTCATCTCCCTTCTTCACTGTTCATTTATTGTCAATTAAAGAAAGCTCTGATTTATATGATATCCCATGATTTTCCTTTTTTAAACGCTCCATTTTTTCCCTAATACAAAACACCTGTCAAACAATCAGCCTACATTTCATTGTATCTGGTCAGATGTTTTCAAGTGGCAACAGTCCTCACTTTCAGGGTAAAAGTCAGATAAAATCCTTCCTGTTCCACCTTTCATTAAAAAATATTAAGGCCATTTAAAATCTGTGCCACCTTAATTACCCATACTAAATTGAACAATTGTTTTGAAATCCTTCAACTGGAATGGTAAGCAGTTTTCTCCTATTTTTCTTCTGAATCTACTGTGAACAATACGTCCATCTGAATGATTAGTCTCCAACATCCCCATCTCTATCACCAATGAGCCACAGAAAGTGAAAACTCATAGCTAATAAGGCAGTTCCAAGCAGATCTCCCAACGCAGTAAGGTAAGGGATAGAAAAACTGTCAGGATCTTTTCCTTTTTTCCAGAAGTGGTGCACCATCCAGTCAGCAATCCATAACAAAGTAAACACCTATGGCAGAACATTAAACAAAAGATAATCCAAAATCAGTGGGAATGGAATTAGAGCACTTTTGAAAATCCCACCCTAAATGTTAACATTGATCTATTTCACTGCTGATTATTTTAGCTGAAACATTAACCTAACAGGCCTGATTTCTAAGATGTGCTGAGCATCTGGGATGCCCATTGAACTTCAGCAGGAGGTGGTGGATGCTCAGCAACTCTGACAGTCATACTGTGTGTGTATTGGTGGGTTAATTGTAGACACTGGGTGAACTGGGGCAGTTAGTGCCTTGGTGGTGTGGGGAATGAGGAATTCAAACCCTTCTCCCCACAAACTCAAGATCACTTTCACCCTTACCTAAAAGGTGAAATATCAGAATTGTAGAAACCAGAAACTGGAAGGAGCCTCGAGAGGTCATCTACTCCAGTCTCCTGTGCTCATAAGTATTATCTAGACCATCCCTGACAGGTGTTTATCTAACCTGCTCTTAAAAATCTCCAATGACGGAGATTCCACAATCTCCCTAGGCAATTTATTTCAGTGCTTAACTAACCTGACAGGAAGTTTTTCCTAATGTCCAACCTAAACCATCCTTGCTGCAATTTAAGCCCACTGCTTTTTGTCCTAGCCTCGGAGGTTAATGAGAACAATTTACTTCCCTCCTCTTTGTAACAACCTTTTATGTACTTGAAAACTGTTATGTCCCTTCTCAGTCTTCTCTTCTCCAGACTAAACAAACCCAATTTTTTTTCTATTTTCCCTCATAGGTCATGTTTTCTAGACCTTTAATCATTTTTTGTTGCTCTTCTCTGGACTTTCTCCAATTTGTCCACATCTTTCCTGAAATGCACCCAGAACTGGACACAATACTCCAGCTGAGGCCTAATCAGCAAGGAGTACAGCGGAAGAATTATTTGCCATGTATTGCTTACAACACCCTTGCTAATACATCCCAGAATTATATTTGCTTTTTTTTGCAACAGGGTTACACTGTTAATTTGTATTTAGCTTGTGATCTATATGACCCCAGATCCCTGTCCACAGTACTACTTCCTAGGCAGTCATTTCCCATTTTGAATGTGTGCAACTGATTGTTCCTTCCTAAATGGAGTACTTTGCATTTGTCCTGATTGAATTTCAGCTCATTTACTTCAGACCATTTCTCCAGTTTGTCCAGATCATTTTGAATTTTAATCCTATTCTCCAAAGCACTTGCAACTCCCATTAACTTGGTATCCTCTGCCAACTTTATAAGTGTACTCTCTATGCCATTATCTAAATCATTGATGAAGATATTGAATAGAACGGGCCCCTGAACTGATCCCTGTGGGACCCCATTTGATGTGCCCTTTAGAAGGAAAGATAAGATGCATCCTCTCCCCAGTACGTAAAGTCTCAACTACCTCCTAGTTTCCAATAACCAAAGCTGTCTCCCTGGTGTCCACACCATTAGTGCTCTTTCCCAATACTTTGTCCTACAGTGCAATTATATTTTCAATACAAAAATATAAGAAACAATGAAATTTTGAGGGTTAATATCAAAATAACCAAATGCCACAAGGCATAATTTGATTGAAATTGGGAGAGTAAGTGGGGAGATTGGCTTTAGGGGAGCAGTGCTGAATAAACCGAAGTTTAGTGTGATGCACAGGAGCACTTGTTAGATCACATCTTTCTAACAATTAGAAAGATGTGATCTAACATTTCACCCAGACAGTAGGAACCAATGTAAATGGCGTAGAAACCATGAAGTATCAATTTCAACCCAGGCCCAATTCCCATAGGCATTGTGAGATCTGCACTTTTACACCAGGTCTGAATTTGGTTCAGAGTGCTGTATTAAAGACTTTATTCCCAGCTGTGACTGTCTCAACACCTAAGAAATATGAATTTAATGCTGAAGGTACGTGTGACTAGTAATCCAGTACTAGTAGGGATTCATTTTTGAATATTCCACAGCTGTATAAGAATTTCTGGCTCATTTCAATCATGTGGCATGGCATGAGTAGGGGGAAATCTCCATCTCTTCTTGTCTCTTTGGATGGGACTGCCTAGGCTGAAATAAATGGTCAGACACCACAATGTCTTTTTAGCTAATCAGGTCTTCAGGAATTATAACATGAGGTCTGAACTAAGGACAGTTCTTATCTTACTAACATACAGAAGAAGATTTACTATATACATTAAAGAAAATATATGTACCGGTAATACAAAAATGGTAAAAGTAGAACATTTAAAACTAAATGCATACATTATCTTTCCACATGCTATCAGTTGCTAGAACATTTTCAGTGCTCATAAGATTTTTTTAAATGATCTCTAGATTAAAGCCAAGTTTAGAAAATATCACGTTAAATATACTAAAATGATTAAATACGTTACAAAACTTCCTCTCAGCACTTCGTTTTTTAAAAATTAAAAAATTCATGGTTTACACTACAAAAGCATATTTTAAATCTAAACTTGTGAATTTTTTAAGAAATTACCAAACACTCTCCCTATTTTCTCTTTATGAAATATGCATAACTTATTTAGATAAACACATCTTCTCAATAGGCAACTCTGTAGTTTAAGCTAATTATGCATGTGCTAGGTGTGCTTACTGGAATCCAAACAAATATATTTAAAAGCAGATGTTTTCTTTGGAAGATTATGTCAGATTCTTTCAGTCAGCTCCTTCTACCAACACAGACAAAAAAGGTCTGTATATAGAGATACTGTACATAAACAGTCCCTTGCAGGCCCTACATAGCAGACTCCATAACTTAAATAGACAATAGTTATACAGGTTTATCAATCTAATGATGCGGGAACTCTTTTTAAGAAGAATATTACTTACTGCAAAAAGAGACACATGATTAATTAGAAATACAATACACAGTAAAATGTAGTGCAGAATGTGACATTTTTAAAATTAAAGACTTAAAACTCCAAATTGTGCCTATATATTTCCATTTCTAAAATATCTGGCTGACGTAGGTTTGGGAGAAAAGTAGTCCTTGAATTCTACAAGACTTAAAGGGAGGATAAATTGACCACCGTGTTTCAGAAAGGTCAAAGACATAACTGAGTAGCTGCATACATAAAAGGACTGACCTCAGAACTGAGAGACTCTACAGTCATTGATCAGGGAAAAGATAGGATAATACTTGGAAAGAAGCAGACTGGTTAAAGAACGAAATATTGACATTTTAAAAGGAAGGTCAGGCTGAATTAATCGGATTAATTTCTTGATGTGACTGACAAAAGAAATTGACAGAATTGAAACAGATGACATAATCAACCTGGACTTCAAGAAGGCTTTTGTATTTAGTGTCACAAAAAGCAGTATGTAAAGTTAGCATGTATGATGGTGTTGGTAAAACTCAGTTTGATAAAAACATATTGGCAGCTGAGGTCAGAGAACAGTGGAAAACAGTATAATGGAAGTGGCAAAAAGAGACTGTTGAGAAGACAAATCTTGTTCAGACTACACACTGTACTAATGATGCAAAGTCATGAAGTAAATAGTACATATGTGTATATAACATAAAACTGGAAGAGAGAGTCATTAACCAGCAAGGCCGGCTCTGGCTTTTTTGCCGCCCCAGGCAAAAAAGCCTCCCGCCACCCCCAGCCCCCCGGCGGGGAGCGCGGCGGGGAGGGCGCCGAGCCCAACCGCGGCCCCACTCTCCCCGGCTGGCCGGAGCGCCGGGAGGAGGGTGGAGAGCCCAGCCGCGGCCCCGCTCTCCCCGACCGGCCAGAGTACTGGGGGAGGGCGGCCCCGCTCTTCCCGGCCGGCCGGAGCGCTGCG